TGGGGGAGAAGTGATGTGGTCATGCCAGGGTGGTGGCAACAGGTCCAGACAGAAGTGGACAAACTCCAGAGACACTTAAGAATCTATTGGAGTTTTCTACAAGAACTCAAAAACTCTATTGGCTGTCTACAACACCCCCACAGTGGGGTGGGGTGAGGGGGGAGTTGGGGCACCTGGAAAGCTTGGGAATAGGGGAAAAAAAAGGATCCTACTCCCCAGCCATGGGAACACGCAACCACTTTCCCACAGTCTCTTGGGGGGAATGAACTTAAGGCCAACCAAGATGCTCAAAGTGTGGGGCCATTTCCACTTAATTTCCGTGGTGGTGATGCACTGTTTGGAGCTGGGTACCTGCAACATGGAAATGTGTTTCCCACAGCCCAGGTAGCAGTGAATGCTGGGTTGGATGCTAAAAGATGGCCCTAGCATCCTGGGAGCAGCAGGAGAGCAAGGAGGGGGGGGATGGAGAAGTAGAGGAGTGTTGAGGGAGGAGCTGGGGAGTTCTTCCCATCCTGAGTGTGCCCCTTGTGAGAAATCGAAGTCTGGTCTTTGCCTCTTTCACCTTCTCTGTTCCCCTCTCCCCACTTTTGGGAGCCTGTGGATCTGTCCTGCCTTCCCTCCATCCATCTTCCTCTGGCACATCCCCTGCCAGTGGCCCTCTCTCTGCAATGTCACCTCTCCTGGCTGAAGCACTTCTCAGTGATTGCCACAGGACGGCGACCTCATCAAACTAGCTCTGCTTAGCAGTAAAAGAAGAACTTACCTCTTTCTCCCTCCTTAAAGAATTTCTCTTTTCAAAAGAGCTTTCTGGTCACTCAAATTGATCTCTGCCCCACTGCTCTGAAAGGGCCCTTTGCCTCCATGGTTTCTGAAAACTCTATTGATGGAGCCTGCTCAATGCAGCCTCTGGGGAAGGTGGTTCCATCAAAGGCTGGGAGTGAGAGAATCTTACCCCGGGGTGCAGGGGACATCAAAATATTTAATAACCAGTATGACATGCGAACCAGTGAATTGCCAGCTCCAGGACCCCACAGTCTTGGGTCTGTCAGGCACTCACCAGATCATGGTGGTCCTGGGGAAATGCCAGGTGGTGGGGGGCACTGGGAGGCACTCGTGGGAAGCAGGTGTTTACCAACAAGTTCAGAAGTGTTTCTGCACTTTATCAACTGATATGGCAATCCTGAAAGCAGGTTCAGTCTGCTGTTCCTCTGGGAAGGGTCGCTGGGCCATTTATTCCTTCTGTTAGAGGAAAATGGCCCAGGGCAGAGCTGGGGAATGGGAGCTGCCTCTAAGCAGAGCCAGCTGTGTGGAATCTGGGTGAACAGGCTCTCAGGCCCTCGACCCCCTGCATGACCTTGAAGGGCCCAGATGCCTCTGAATGTTCTTCCTTCTGCCCCTCCTCACGGTTATTTTTGTTCAGTCTGACAGCCCTTGGCTGTGGCGGCAGTCTGGGCTCTCTGAGCCGGATGCAAACCAGGCGGCTCAGACGTCTGGTGCTGAATCCCAAGAGGATGCCTCTCTGGGTGCCATCACGTGGTCCCTCCACACTGTGTCCCCATGGGGAAAGACCACACACCCAGAAGCTGGGTTCTCTGTTCCTCAATCCTGACTCCTGCCTGGCAGTGAGGACACCCTGTCACAGAGCTTTGCCACTGCTCAGAAGCCCCCTGGCCTAGCTTTTTGAGCCAGATGTGAGCAGGGAACTCTTAGTCTCAAGGACGGTGGGTGTCTGCAGCTGGAGGGAAGTAGAGCAGGACCTGCTGGGCTTCCGTCATCCAGGCTTGGTTGTAATAGAGAATGGGTTTGTCCTGTGGTTCACTGTGATGGGGTAGGCAGGGGCAGACAGGGTGCCCAAGAGACCTCTTAGTGGCCTCTGCTCAGTTACCATCTCCAGGAAATGAGACAGACAGTATGTTCCAGTTCCTTGGCCTAGGATGGCTACAGCCAGTCATTGTTTCTGACTAGGGTCTGACCTCTCCACAGAGGCAGCCAGCCTTGGACCATGGCAAGCTTCACGGTTCAAGCTTCCATCCCAGACCCATGGTTCATGAATACCGGGCAGGAGAGGGGGCTGGGCACAGCTCTTAGGGGCTCATGAGGCACTATGACTCATCTGTGCAGGTGAGAAACGGGACGGAGCCTCTGAGATCAGAAGGGGTCCATGGGAGCCGAGTGGACAGGCTGGGCTGAGCGGTGAGGAGGAGAGAGCTTCTGATGGGTGAGGAAGGTGCTTTCACATAGAAGCCCATCCGGGAAGCAAAGCAGAAGAGGCTGCATCATTCTTAGAGCTTCTGAAATAAGAACCTTTCTTATGATCCTGGGAACCTGGGGGTGGGGGAGTAAGCTCAGAAAGCTCCGATTTCAGTGATTTCAGAGACCCAGGAGTGGTAGAGCACAGCACCTGCAGGCCTCCCAGCTGGCCCCATGGGAGATGGACTGGAGACTGGCACAGCCACATAAGCTGCGGAGCCCACAGCACTAGGGGGTCTTGGGGAGGAGGACTGCAGGAGGGGAACGGTGTGGCTGCTCCTGGCAGCCCTGCTGCTGGAGGCCATGGGAAGAGGGGCAGCTGGCCTCTCGGGGGGGCGGGCCCTCTGGGTGGAAGATACCCCTCGACTGGGCAATAAATTCCTCCGTGCCGGCAGGATGGTACCAGTGGCCCTGCGAATGGGTGCGGTTCGGAGGGCTGGGATGGGGTAAGCAGGAGAGGAGGTGCCGGGGAGGACAGGGCCAGGCACACTTCCCAGGATGGCGAGCTGGTTGCTCAGGGCTGGCAGCCCTGGACAACTATGGAAGAAAGACCAGGGCCAAGCAGGGAAAGCCAGGGGGCCGGCAGGCGAGGGCGAAGGCTCCATCTCAGCCGCATAGCTGTTGAGGTGGGAGAGAAGGCGAATCCGGACAGGGTCTGCTCGGCTGCTGGGCCCTTCCAGGACCCCCAGGTACCTGATGACCTCAGTGAGGCACTCCCGAAAACCAATGCTCCTGAAGTCAACTGCCAGGGCTCGGGCATCAAAGAATCCTGAAAAGTGAGGCACCATGAGTGCATGCTGGGGTGTGGGGACAGGGAACCCAGGGTCAGATGGTGTTCTGAACATGCCCCTTCCATTCACTCCCTGGGTGACCTTGGGCATGCCCTCTCACCTCTCTGAGCCCCCATCTCCCCGTTGGTAAAGTGGGAATAAAAACCTCTACTTGGAGTTGGGAGCAGAGGTGCACGCCTGTAATCCCAGAGGCTCAGGAGGCTGAGGCAGGAGGATCTCGAGTTCAAAGCCAGCCTCAGCAAAAAACAAGCTGCAAAGCAACTCAGTGAGAGACCCTGTCTCTAAATAAAATACAAAATACTACTTAGCTGGGGATGTGACTCAGTGGTTGAGTGCCCCTGAGTTCAATCCCTGGTATTCTCTCCCCGCCACACTCACAAACACAAAAAAACTAAAAAAACCAAAAAAATCTTTACTTGGGATGGTGAGTTGTGAGGATCAAAAGAATTCAGTAAACTATGCAACATTACTAAATAGATTGCTTTCACCACAATTCATAAGTAATGCAAAAAAGAAACTTTGTGACCAAGTTTACTTGGTTAAGAAGACTGTGCCTGTACAGGTATACAATAACCTGTCTGCTAATGGGGGTAGATTCAGGGAGGGGAGGAGGTGACAGCAGCCATCAGAGCTTGGCGGCCCCTTGGAGGAGGCAACAGAGTGTAGCAGTGAAGCATGAAGTCTTTGGAAGCCAGGCTAGCTGGGTTCAGATCCAGACTCCGCTACTTAGCTGGCTGCCTGACTGGGCAAGTCTCATCTCTCCTGGCCTCAATCTCCTTAGCTCTAAGTGGGCAGACAATTGTTCTTGAAAGTGAAGTGAAATGGTTCACAGAAAATGCTCCATAAACAAAAAGTTTGCTATCACTTATATTTCATGCTGCATTTGTTTGTCCCCTCAGCTCAAAAGATGGTCCAGCACTCAAGATCTGATCCTGACTCAGTAGCTACAGCAGGCCAGGGGCCCTCTCTTTGGCCTGATGTCAATGAGGGTCAACCAGGTGGACTGTCCCTGCAGGCATTCAAACCCTCACTGTCTCTTCACACCTGCCACTCTCTCTATCACTTATGGGCAAAGACAGAACAGCTCTGGCTGGCACTGTCCTCATGACTGGCAGCAAATATCTGGGCCCTAGTTCATGGTTTAGGCTCCTCCAGAGGGACGGCTTGGCAGGAAGACTGTGTTTGGTGTGAGGCCAACTTTCAGATAAGACCTGGCTCTGCTGGATATTTAGCTATGTAACTCACAAATCCCTTTACCTGAGTGTTTTGTTTTGAATCTGCAGCACTGGAGATTGAACCCAGGGTCTTCTTGCATATGCTAGAGAAGTGCTTTACCAGGGAGCTACAACCCTACCCCTTTTAAAAATTTTTAGTGAGACAGGATCTCACTAAATTGCCCAGGCTGGTCTCGAACTTATGATCCACCTGCCTCAACTCCTGAGTAGCTGGGATTACAGGTGTGTGTCACCACACCTGGCTTCACCTTGATGTGTTTGTTGCTCTTTTAAAATTAATATTTGCTGAATTCTTACTAAGTACTTCATTGTATTATTTAATATAATCCTCATAAGCTCTATTGTTATCTTCATTTTGGAGATGAGGAAACTGAGGAAGAGAGAGGTTAAATCATTTTATGAGGTCATAAAGCTAGTAAGTAGAAGAGCCAGGATTCAAATCCAAAGCCTGTGTTCTCTCTAAACCACAATTCCCTGTCTTCCCATTATTCCTGAGCCAGAAAGTAATGAGGACAATCCCACTCTCCTGGTTTTTGAGAAAAGCAAAAGCATTTTGAAAGCCATTGAATGCTGCCCACATATTAGTCACAACTTAAAAAAAAAAAAAAAGGTTAACAGAAGTTGTAATTTGAAACATCTCCCCTACTGAAAACTTAGTAACAGAAATCTCCACTGTTAGCAATACATTCCTTTAACAGAAGTTCTCAAAAGCAAGGATCACCTGCATTAGGTTTACTGGGCAGGCTTGTTAAACTTGCAAATCCCTAAACTCCACTCCAGATCTACTGTCCCAGAATCTCAGTAAGGTGGCCCAGGAATCCCAGGTGTGGGAAGCTCCAGGTTGGGCTACTCAAAATGCAACTGTTGATTGGTGCAGTGGCACATGCTTATAATCCCAACAACTTGGGAGACAGGGACAGGAGATTCACAAGTATGAGGCCAGCCTCAGCAACTTGGAGAGACCCTGTCTCAAAGTAAAATAAAAAGGAATGGGGATGTGGCTCAATGGCAGAGAACCCCTGGGTTCAATCCCCTGTACTACACACACACACACACACATACACACACACACACACACACAACGAATAAATAAATATAAATAAAAGAAGCAGCAGCAGCAGCCACTGTCCCTGTCCTCTTCCAGGGTAGCAGGTTACCTTTGGGACTTAAGTCTTTGTGGCCAATGTTTTTCAAGTTTCCCAAATGTAAAAACACCAAACAGAGAAACTTCGGAACATATTTCTTTTTGTCTGCAAGCCTTTTTAAAGCCACAATTCCATGATTTTATTGTGGTGGACTAGTTTAGAATAACCAAATGAGTGACATTTATGTTCTACTACAATCCTGACACCTGCTGTGATCAGGGAGTATCCCCACAACACTGCCCAGGACATAACAGCAGGCCAGAAGTCTAGACCTACCGGAAGAGACACCAATGAATCCCCTGTGGCTAAGAATTTTAGGCAGGTCCCTCTCAGGGTTTAGGAGGGTCACAGAGTGTGAGACCCCAGTAAGAATTAACTCCCTGAGGCTACTCCTTAGTGAGGCCCTGGGGGTAAGTTTGTTCCACTTACCACAAGGGAATAGTTTTTTACACAAAAGACAGATCCTCCAAGGTCTAAGACTGAAAAGAGCTGAGTTGAGGAAAGGGTTGGGAAAAACAGACACCGGAAGTGGGGAGGCAGATGTTAAGAGTCAAATTTGGTGAATATTCAACTAGGTTTGCTTTAGCCGCCTCTGGAGACTGTGAGCTTCAGGGGGGCAGAGACCTTGTCTACTTGGCTCATTGCATATCCCCATGGCCCAGCCTGAAAATATTTGTCGTGCAAATGATTCCCCAAAGAGAAGAGCATTGGTACCTGTCCCACCAGTGGCATGGAGCATTTTCAAGTGATCCACGGTCATCTGCAAGACCTCAGCTTTCTCCAGCTTGGAAGAACCCTGTAGGTACAGAAGGCAGGGAGATGCGGCTCCAGCTGACTTCTGTCGCTCTCCTCCTCTGCCCATTATCATGTCTTGATTTTCTCAACTCTTCCTGGTTTTCCCACCGCTCGCATTTAGGATCCTGCTTTGGCCAAGATCTCCAAATCTCACAGATGCTCTTTATTTCTCACCTCAGTCTTCCTGTCTGCAGCACCACTCAGCTTCCTTTCTGAAACCTCTTCTCCCTGGACTGCAGCAACACCACTTCTGCTTTCTCCTTTCACTTTGCCTCTTGCTCTGCCTGTCCCTTAAATGGGTGCTTCCACCAGTGGGCACTGGCCTACTTCTCTTCCAGCTCTGCCTGCTCTCCTCCAGGATCTCACCCACCTCTGTGGATTCATCCCTCACCAGAATGCCACTCAGACATCCCCACCTGCCTCCCAGAGCAGCGCTCCTGGGAGTACAAGATCAGCCTCAGCGTGCTCAAGCCCTAGCTCATCATCTTAGCCCCAGAGCACTTGCTCTTCCCCTGTTCTTTCTTGGGAAATGTCTTCTAAGCTCACAGACCACCTGGCCTCTCAGAGAAACCTCAGGGTCAGACGCTCTACACGACATCTGAGGGCAGACACCAGGTCTAGTTCATGGCTGGTCCTGTAAAGGTTTCAGTGAACATATGTGGAATGACTAAAGGAAGGCAGATGACCTGCGACAGGTGCCTTTGAGCCTAGGGAAAGAATCTTTGAAGCTGTTGCTTCAACTGCCTGACTCCTCACTGTAGTCCCCCCACCGAAACATGTTCATGATACGGCATTCACCCCTGAGCAGCCTGCTCCACTTTCAAACAGCTCTGGAAATGTCAGGAGACAGTCACATAGTCCTGTGCTCCAACTCGACTCTGCTGCTTGCTATCTGGGTGATCTAGTCCAAGTTACTTCTTTCTCTGCTTCAATTTCCTTACTTGTGCAATGGGCAGAACAATTGTTACCCTTCAGGATCATTTTTAGGATTCCATTCAAATGGATGTAAAGCCACAATACCTGAGGCACCTCACCAAGTATGAATTTTCATCCCTTTGTCCCCTAGCCGGTGACAGATATTTAGACATGATCACAGCACCTCAGGCAGCTGCTACACTTCAAAAAGAGATACCATGGGAAACAAACCCTATCTGCCATCCACCCAGTATTTCCAGTGGCACAATCGACAATGTCACATACCTGTTTCTCAAAGGCAGTGGGGATTAAGCGCCGCAATTCAGAAAGGCTGCTGTTTATGCGATCTCGACGCCGTTTCTCTATGATCTGAAAAGCAATGACAAGATGTAAACACTTGTCATGGTTTCCAAGGTACCTGATGAATGCTGATTTATATCTTTTCTCACAATATTGTTGTGAGCAAGTTAATGTTTTACCTTTTTTTTTTTTTTTTGCAGTGCTGGGAATTGAACCCAGGGGCTGTCACATGCAAAGCAAGTGCTCAACCACTGATCTACAACCCCAGTCATTTAAAGGATTTTTATTTTGAGACAGGGTTTTGCTACATTGACCAGGCTGACCTTGAACTTGAGCTCCTATTACCTCAGCCTACTGAGTAGCTGGGATTTCAGGCATGTGCTGAGGCATCTAGCAGAAGTAAAACTATTCTTGCTTTATGGAGAAGGAAACCAAGGCTCATAGAGGAACTATAATTTGCTTAAGGTCACAGAGCAATACAGTGCAGCTCAGATCTCTTACGTTGGTCTGTAGGAGTGATATGCAAAATGTTCAGTCACTGGTACTGCAGGACACCAACAAAATAGGAACACCAGCCACAACACTGAAGCCGGCCCTGGGGGCCCCTGTTGGGCCAGGGTTACCCCTTCAGTTGCTGGGTCAGAGGCAGTCTGAAGAGCCTTAGGTATTGTTCTCTCCAACTGTAAAGGGCTCATTCACACTATCTCCTCCCTCACAATCCTGGTAGCAGGCCAGTCGTGGTGGTGCCCGTCTGTAATCCCAGTGGCTCAGGAGGCTCAGCAGAACCCTGAGCAAGACCCTGTCTCAAAATAAAATA